CAGTCGCTGGAGAAGGATGTCATGCTGGGTAAGGTGGAGGGTCAGAGAAAAAGAGGAAGACCCCCAACGAGATGGATCAGCCAGGTGGCATCATTGATGGTTTCAAGTATGGCAGCGGTAGTGAGGTTGGCCTAGGATCGGATATTGTTTCGTTCTGCTGTGCATGGGGTCGCTATGAGTCGGTTCCGACTCAATGGCACCTGATAGCAACAACAACATCTTTATAAATCTGACCTTTTACTTATTTTGGGGGATTGGCATGAGAATGATAATATCAGCAAATTACATGCGGTAACATTGTATGTAGTACATATTACTAGGAGTAAGGTGAAATAAAAAGGACCATCGTAAATGTGGTTCAGAACTCAAATATGTCATTGTAAATCAGAGATAACTGCAGTTAGTCTTCCTAGATATTGACCATGTTTCTAGACTTTGCATTTACGTTTTGTTTGTTAATACACCAGCTCCACACTGCTTTACTATTGAAGTTTTTTGGTATCTAGTAGGGAAAGGCATCCCTTATTGTGTGTCCCTCTTGCCTCCAATTTTCTTGGTTATTTTTGTTAATGTTTTAGTAGGAATTTTAGAATCAGTTTAGATGATTCATGAAAAAGCACACGTTAATATTATAGGTGGATCAGGAGTCCTGGTGTGGCGCTATCACTTAATGTGCTGGACCACAAAGATCGGTGGTTCAAGCTCACCAGCCTCTCCTTGGAAACCCTATATAGGGTTGCTATGGGTTGGAATTGACTCAACAGCACTTAACAACAACAACATATTCCATTTATAAATTAACCTCAAGATAATTAAAATACTTCTCATGTTAAATCGTTCTGCCCCAAAATACGTACCTGTTTATAGTTATTAATGTCTCCTTTGGTGTCTTTCATTAGTGCTTTAATAATTTTTTTTAAAAATAATATAAAAAATATATATGCTACATGCAAAAGCTGAAAGAAATATAGGAAATTACAAGATTAAATGAGTAGTTCTTAACCATTTTAGTGGGATTGCAGGGCCCTTTAATTGTCAGATAACAGTGATATTGTCTTCCCAAAGAAAACTGCATACATGTGATTTTTTTTTTTGTACAATTTTAGGGAAATTTCTAAAACCTTTCATGGAGTTTAGGACATATGTCCTAGACGAGAAATTAACAAATAACATTTTGCCTTTTAATCTATTTAGTAACTGACTTCAAAAAGACTAAGCTGTTGCACAACGTACTATTTAATATGAAACGTTGTTGTGAATTGCCGTCGAGATGGTTCCGACCCATAGATCTAAAACATACTTAACTGGTAAATCTTTTAACAAGGATAGGCATTTCAGAGAAGAAAAGGGGGATCAAGTAACTTCACAAGTACATTTGAATTGAATTATGGTGTGGCTAGAAATTTAACAGTGATGAGAAAGTAGTTTCTGGCAATTTTGCAGAGACTATGTTAACTAAAATTTTTTTTTTTTATGTTTACTGTATTGCATAGCTGTAAGATCGTATCATTTTAAAGCACATATTTATGGACTTGTTTTGATACTGATAATACAGATGGCATACATTTAGATGATCAATGTATATGAAATTTAAACTCTCTGTCTCAAAATACAGCCATACTTTACACAGGCTATTTTACCTTTTCACATTCAAACTTTCAAGAAATTATTCATGTCTAATTTGAACTTTGATTGTAATCCTATTTTTGTTTTTATTTTTCCAATAAGTGTTTTTGATATTTATCTTAGAAGTCCATTTGTCTTAGATGAAGGGAATTGTTTGCATTCTGTTTCTTATTCATGAAAGCACAAAGGATTAGTTTCTGATACAAAATAACGGGTGCAAAATTCTCTGCAAATTGCTGAACATGGGAAAGCCTCATTTCCCACTAGCCTCCACTTATATGTTCCAGGCATATTGTTACTCCATTAGATTCTGAAAGAAATTAATGTAACTGTTAAAAGTTGTTACAAATCAGTACACAAATTTATTGAATAAAATGAGTACTATCTTGCTTTTTGAGTCCTGGTGTGGCACTGTGGGCTAATGTGTCATATTGCAAAGTTGTTTGAACTGTGAGGTCGGTGGTTCAAGCTCACCAGCTGCTCCTTGGAAACCCCATACAGGGTCGCTATGGGTCAGAATCGTCTCAACGACACTTAATAACATCTTGCATTTACATTGGTGAGCAGATACAGGTTTTGGATGCAGTAGACAGCTAGGCCTTTTTACTTTTTACAACTTTTTCTTATGTCACTGAAAGAATGAAGCTTATAAAAAATGATATGTTTTACTCTTTTATAATCCTTTATTGATAATAACATGACCTGCTCACTGAAAAAAAGATAATGTGGTAGTTTGGGCTTACAGTTTTATATATAAAAAGAATTGTTTTTAAGTGCCATTGAGTCAGTTCTGACTCATAGTGACCCTGTATAGGACTCCTGGTGTAGCACTGTAGGATCAGAACTGGACTGCATACCACAAGGTGGCAGTTCAAACCCACCAGTTTGCTCTTTGACACTCTATACAGGGTCGCTATGAGTCAGAACTGACTTGACGACACTTAACAACAACAAACAGTATTTCCAAGGAGTGGCTAGTGAGTTTGAATGACTGGCCTTGTGGTTAGTAGTCCAGTGCTTACTCTATACTCTATAACAGTACCGGTTTTTCCCACTATCTAAAGTAGAGGGCTCTTATGAAACCTTTCTTAAGGCAAAATAATGTAAAGCAAAGAAGCAATGACCACTAATTTATATGTGAAACTTTTTGAACGCTCCTAGGCCCAAAAAGGAGTCCTGGTGTGGTGCTGTGGGTTAATGCGCCAGAGTGCAAAGCTTTTTGAACTGAATTGCAAGGTTGGTGGTTCAAGCTTACCAGTTGCTCCTTGGAAACCCTATACCAGGGTCGCTATGGGTCGGAACTAAGTCGATGGCACTTAACAACAACAGGTCCAAAAAATAACCTTATCAAATCATGCGAAATACTACATAAGACCTAAAAATAACACTAAACATATAGTAAAAGCAGGAATGATAAATACACAACTAATGTAAGGAGGAAATCATGTTTGTTACAGTGTAGTTTCCCTGGGAGCAAGCTTGGCTGGACTCGGTGCTTCTCAGAGTACATGCTGTTCTTGAACTGTTCACTGCAACCCGAATGCTGAATGCTACTTCAATGTTCACAAAAGCAGAAGTCCTCTTCAGTTTTCTTTCATTAGCAAAAAGAAGCACTAATGTAGGTCTTTCATAAAAGCGAATTTGGCAGACTCAACTTCCAAAACGGGGGTTTTCGTGTTATCTCTAAAGAGGTAGCTATTGCTCCCCATTACAAACTAACCTGAGTTTATACATTTTATATAGCATGGGAGAATAGTTCACAATCATTTATTTTGGAGGCTAGTCTAAGGATTCTATGTGAGAGCTTCAGAAAGTTCATGGAAAAGCTACATTTTCTTATTTTAATTAAAAAGTTTTATTGTGAATTGAGTGACGGTTTATAGACACGATCATCATCACTTTTAAATTCATCAACTAATACACTTTGTGTCGTCACAATGATTACAATCCCTTCCTTGGAACAACAGCCCATTTCCTCCCTGTGGCTCCTATTACCATTTCACCCACCTTCCCATCTCTTGCTACCTTAGTCCTTAGGTGCATGTTGCCCCTTTGATTTTGAATGATTGACCATTCCATCATTCATAGTGAGCATATTTTACTAGTGTTGTTATTCCCCCTATATGCCTATCTACTGCTTGGCTGGAAGTTGGGCTACAAGGGGTGAATTCCTTTCCAAACTTGAAGGATGATCAAGGGCGTCTCGGGTTCTTCATGTCTCTTTCTGACCAAAAAGCCTGTCTTTTTTTAATTAATAATTTTGAGTTTTGTTCCACATACTCTGCCACTCTGTCTGGGACCTTCTAATGTGAATCCTTTCAGAGCAGTTGGTAGTGTTAGCTGGGTTCTATGTAGTTCTTCTGATCTCGAGTTATGGAGACTGAGTTCACATGGTCCATTAGTTGATTCTAAGCATCTTCAATGCTCATAACTCTTCTTCTATGGAAAGACCAATAGCTGCGCTTGAGATGGCCCCTCAGGGGTTTTTAATATCGCAGACGCCACTTAACAAAGTAGGATGTAGAACATTGTCTTTGTGGACTATGTTATGCCAATTGGCCATGGTGTCCCCTGATACTATGGTCCTAATTCCCCAGGTTAAGCAACTCATTGCCTTAAGATGTTTGATAATGTCTAAGAAGTTTTCATAATTTTGTCTGCTGTATATTCAACTATTTCCATTCTTATAAAATAGTGCATTTAAAATGTAAGTATTAGTGGAGTATTCTTTTGTAATGGACTTGGCACTTGATTCAGGCTATTTGCAATGTATGCTGAACAAAGAGGATCTAATGGAGTTGAATGCCTATGCTTCCCCAGCTTCCTACAGCCTGTCTGGAGATTTATTTTTGTCATGACAGAGAATGAAAATTAAGTTAATATCTAAACTTTATGGTAAAAAAAACATTAAAAAAAAGGATTTTTTTTTTTTTTTTTTAATGTTTTACTTCCCATACTGTTATACAATCCATAACTTATTTTAACACTAATAAGTGTTTGGAAGTATCCATTGCAGTATATTTTATGTTTGTTTTTAAAGCATGTTTTTATTTGTTTAAGGTGGATAGGCATGTCGACCTGCTAGAAGTTGCCCAGGAAACAGATGGGTTTTCAGGAAGTGATTTAAAAGAGATGTGTCGAGATGCTGCCCTCCTCTGTGTCAGGGAATATGTGAACTCTACTTCAGAAGAAAGGTATTTGTTTTTAGAACTGATCTCTCATATTTTTCAAAACCTTTAGGAACTTTTAGATTCATTTTCATTGCTTTTGAATAGAATTTCTGCTTACAGAAGTAAAAGGCAATTGTGAGTTAGCAAACTCCTCAATTTGTTTGTTGCCATTTTCCTAAAGGGGGCGTTTAGAAAATGAATGAGAGTGAGACAAAGTCTGAAAGAGGAAGAAATAAGATAGGATTTGTGCTGATAATCCATGCAGCCTGTTAGGACAAATAGAAACCTAAGCATATCCATCTCTACTAGAAAAAAGCAGGATTCTCTTGCTTCTGTGTCTTAAATTTCATTTTATGTGGAAATTAGTGTGCTGTCTTCCAGAGCTTACACTTTTAAGTGTGGAAAGTGCTGGAGATCAACCTTAAACTTATTAATAATAATGTGTTTACTAAATAAAGCAAACATTTTTCAGGGTAGCAAACTCCACATGAAACCAGTTTCAAATTATGGTGAGGCTGAGTAAATCAATTTTGTACCAACCTTATTCCAACAGAGATATTAGTGGACTGGAAAAATTAGATGAGGTCTGGTGAACCGTATTCCTTAAGGAAGATTACAAAAAAAACCAAACACTTGCCCTGAATCAGCACTGCACTGCATTTCTAAAGTGCTTTCCAGAACATAGTATCAGCCTTCTTTCTACTTGTGTACTTTGAGGGAGCTATGTTCAAAGAGATTGTCAACTCTTCAGCTTTGTTTCTCAAGCTTCCTTCCTCAGTCCTCAGAGGGTTTTATACCAAATGACTCTGATTTGCCAGTCATGTTAATGTATTTAATTACATTGTCATAGCACAGATTTTTAGTATTGACAATTTTGCCTTAAAGTACCTCTGTCAGCCAGTAAGTAGCTATGCATGCTGGTTCTGGACCTCATTGTTAATGTGCTTAGGACCCAACCATGTAGAGATTTTCTCCACTTGTTTGTTGTCAGATTAATTCAGTGATTCTAGCAAATTAGGAAAGCTTTGGATCTCAACAGCAAGGATAATCTACCCTGTTTGTATTCTTGTGGATGAAATGAAGAGGAGAAATAACCAATCTATAAAAGGTTTTGTGTAAGTAAATTACACTAGTAATGAAGAGTCCTACTTTTCTGCTAAATTCAAAGCCCTAAAAAAATTTCTTTTAGTTTGAAAAATCTGGCTTGGGTTATCATAACTTTTTCCTTCAATATATATTATCTTATAGTGTCTGTAGATTACAGAGGAGCCATAATACAATGGATTTTGCTCTTTACATTACTGAAGCCCTGGTAGAATAGTGGGTTACAATTTAGGGTGCTAACTACAAGGTCAACAATTCACATCTACCAGCTGCACTTCAGGAGAAAGGTGAGGCTTTCTGCTCCCGTAAAGATTTATGGCCTCGGAAACCCTTTAGTAGAGGGTTGCTGTGAGTTGGTACCAACTCGACGGCATACCACTACCACCATTATTAAAGTAAGGGGGAGTTGGATTAGTTGATTTTTATTAAAAGTTGAGAATTTTACTTTTCATTCATCAAAAGCTAAACATGAACATGAATATATAACTAGGAATTCTACGTCTTCATTTTAGTTTTCAGGGAATAACTTGATTTCTTGACTGAAATTATATTCCCATTTGGGTAAACAAATGCACCTGTCAATAATATTTTCAGAATATGGTTAATATTCTGTACTTACATTCTTGGTGTCAGTGTTTTGTTTTGGTTACCACAGGTATAGTGTTTCTATTTATAGCCAGGCATTCGATGGCACTTAACAATTCCACCCTTTTAACTTTCTACTGGTTGGCAGTGAACAGGTTTTTAAAGCTTTGTGTTGATGGGTACTGTCCAGTCAGTTCTGACTGCACAAACTAGAACTCTCCCCTGTAGGGTTCCTAGGCTTTACCGGAGCAGATTGTCGGGGTTTTTCTCCCATGGAGTCACTTTTGAGTTGCAGTTGAGTGCTTAACCATTGAGCCACCAATACTCCTTATGACTTGAATAAAACATAGTTGAATGCCGGAAAATATATGAAGCTGATCATTATGATTCTGTTGGGATTTGGCATAAGACATAGACTACATTGTTAAACCTTTTTGTACAGTTGGGAAAAAATTATTTTTTACCACATGTGTGTGTATATATATCTTAGTAAAATATCCTTTTTATAGATGTATATTCTAAAGTTTATTTTAAACATTTGGTGGGTTTGTTTGTATTTTAGCCATGATGAAGATGAAATTCGGCCTGTGCAACAGCAGGACCTTCATCGAGCAATTGAAAAGATGAAGAAATCAAAGGATGCAGCATTTCAGAACGTTTTAACACATGTTTGTTTAGATTAAGAGTAAAGCTCATTTGTACAGTCGATGTGATCCAATTTGGTGTGACCTGTTATTAGTGGAGATAGATTGGAAGGAGGAGTGCTCTTTAACAGCAAGGGAGTTAATACATTGGTTTTATATGTTCTAAGTTATTGAGATATAGTGGATATGTAAACGGTATTACTACTGGCCAGAAATCATGAGGTGGAACCATGTAATCCAACCTGGGTATGTGCTTGTTTTTGACCTCTTTAGCCATATGTTCTTGCAGCCGTATAGCATCTAAGCTGGTCTTAAAGTGATAGATGATTCATAGGTCATCTGTGAGAAATGCGGATGTGGTTAAGTGCTGGTTCCTAGATATATGAGTGAATGAGTGAGTGTGTGTGTGTGTGTGTGTGTGTATGTGTTAAATTTATATAGTCATACATTTTATATTGGCATTCTGTAGATAAGTTTGAATACAAAAACTTTTTTTCACTCCAACTACTGAATCCAAAGTACCAAATAGTATATAGCAAAAGTAAAATTTAAGGTTATGTCTGAAAGGTACAGTGATTCAGCCATTTTCCAGTTACCATTTGTTTCAGCCTTTTTTTTTTTAATGCAAGGTTTCTCTGTCTGCGCTTGATTATTTGGAGTCAGCCACATCTGACTCAATATTTAGATGTGACTCAATTATTTTCATTGTCAAGATAAGCAAGTAAAAATACTTTTTAATGATCAGCATTGAATTGTTGTCAGGCAGTCTTGTGTTCAATGTTGATTTCACATCTTTCTCCAAGCACCTTGAGTCGAGATAGGTTTAAGTTTTTATATTGACCTATAGGAAGGTGGATTTGGAGGCCTTTTAAAAAGAATTGGTCTGAAGAACTCAGTGTCATCCATTATGTGAATGTGACCTTCTGCCTTCAGTTCTGTTACATGGTTTGGTATGTTATTTTTAAATTGTGTTTTCATTAATTATGGTGAAATATAGTTTGGTCATCAAAAATGAAATTATAGTTTAAACTAAGTAGCTACTACTAAATGTGCTAAAAGACTTACTTTGTAACTTTAATTTTTAAATTTTTCTTAGTTTATTATAAATTGTACCCTAGTTAAATACAACACACATATCAGTCCTCATATTGTGCCTATAGTCTGTTGAGCCTATGTTGAACTATATGATGAAACATATTTTGTCTGAAATTCTGTTAACCAGAATTCTATTATAGACACTTAAATTAAGATACAGCATGAGGAAATGGCATCACACAATCTTGAGGCGCCTTCTGGATCATAAGAAGATTAAATTACCTTTCTTATGGTTTGACCTTGTATCTCTGAAAACTCATTCATGAGATACTGCATTAGTTTCCCAGATAATACATCTCTCAACTAGAACACAGTGGACAGCTTATTCTTCATTTATACTTTGAATGGTGGGGTAAGTCTATAGACACTTTGGATGACAAGCAAGTCATAAAAAATTGTGAAGATGATGGAAAATTCTAATGAACATAATAACAAAAACATTGTCTCCATTTTTACTAATTATATTACTATACTATTATTTTGTAAAAGTGTAATAAAGTGGTCCCTCTTTGATTTTTTTTTTCCCACTTCATAGCTTTTTTCAGTTATCCAAAATTTTCTGCCTTTTCTTGTTTACATGTATACTCTGATTATATATTGATAAAAATAAGGGTTGATGTATCATTCTTCCACACGTCCATTCTGCTTAACTTCTCTTAAATTTAGAGTATTCAGTAGTGGTAACTATTAAATTTGTCATGAATTTAATCATCAAATGAAGTTAGAGAACTACTACTAAAGAACTTTAGTGTTAGAGGTAGACATGCATACTACGTAAGTGGTTTGATCCCAGGTTTCAAGGTATTTGATTTTGGGTAGCAATTAAGAGTACTAAATCTAGAATCAGACTGCCAGACTGTCAATCCAGGCTCGCTATATAGCCAGCTCTCCATTTCATTTTCTGACTTCCTTGAGTCTATAAAATGACAGTGATGCTCACCTTAAAGAGCTGTGTAATGAGATGATAATGCATGGAAGGGAGTCAGCACAGTGGTAGATACATAGTAACTGCTCCAGTGTTAGGCATCATTATTAATAGTATCATTCCTTTTCATACTGATGTACATATCCTGATGACATCTCCATGTAGGACTTCTAAACCTCGAATGTGTCTCAAACGATTCCAAACCCCTGTTACAACTTAATAATGCAGTATTTGAATCAACTGAATATCTCCCTTATTATTTCTCCTTTTTGTTCCCCCCCAATATCTAATTCTACCCCTTCACCTGCAGATAGACCCAGAAACCGTCGTGTAATGAGTAACTGGGTTAGACTAATGTAAAAATTCTCTATGAACCATAATACCATTCTTCAGTAGCTATGACTTTACAGGTTTGGTGCTTGATGAGGATGTTCAAGCCCTGGTTATTATGCCGGTATAAAAATGGCAGCGTCCCTTTGTTGGGATTTTTTTTTACTGCAATTATGTTTGTGGACAAATGTTACAATTTTTTTCTGGGTAAAGAAAATAAATTGGGTGATGTACATTTTAGCTTCTCTTAAATTCAAAATACTGACTAGAATTCTGATATCTGGGAATATTTCCTGCATGCCAAACTCCAGCATTGACTGGATGCCTTAAATAAAGCCATAGAATTATTAATATGTTTATAGCTGACATAAATTTGTAGATGGCTGTGATGTCTAATTTTATGTGTCAACTTGGCTAGTCCACAGTACCCAGTTGTTTGATCAATCACTAGTCTAGATGTTGCTGTTAAGATACTTTGAAGACATGGTTAACATTTACAGTCTGTTGACTTTTAAGTAAAGGAGATAACTTTTTGAGGGTGGGGCTTCATCTAATGAGTGGAAGCCCTTAAGAGCAAAACCAGATTTTTAAGAGGGGAGAAAGAATTCTGCTTCAAGACTAACAAATCCTGTCAGAGTTTCCAGCCTGCTGGTGTGCCGTACAAATGTTACACTTGCCAGCCCATACACACACACACGGGTAATTATTTTAAGGAGTTAACTGGTAGAAGGACCTTCATTATTAAGTTTGAACCACTGACCTTGTGATTCAAACCAACTTTGCAGTCCAATGCATTAAACCCACAGTGTCACACCAGGACTAGGCATAGCTGATAAAAATATCATTTTAAGATTTCTCTTGCAAGCAACCAACTTGAGAATTTATTTGAAGCGTACCAGGGAACTCACAAAATCAATGGGAAAGTAAAGAAGCAGATTTGGGATGTTAGGTGTCATTGAGTCGGTTCTGACTGGGCAAAACTAAATGAAAAATCTGTGCTTATTGTTGGCTGCCACTGTTACGCCATCTCTGTAAGCATAAAGACCTTTTGCTTTCTTGCCTACCCTCCATCTTACCAAGTAAGGTGTCCTCTTCAAGGAGCTGGTTCTTCCTGATCACATGTCCAAACTATGTGAGACACATTCTTACCATCCTCACTTAAATACTTTGGTACTACTTCCAAGATAGATTTGTTTGTTCTTCTGACAGTCCACAGTACTTTCAGTATTCCTTGCCATCACCATAATTCAAATACATTTGGTCTCTCTTCTTCCGTATTCACTGTTCAACTTTCACATGCATATGAGACTACTGAAAATACCAGGGCTGAGGTCAGGCATACCTTAGTCCACAAAGTAAACTCAAAACACTTTAAAGAGGTCTTTTGCAGCAGATTTGCCTAATACAGATAACACTGATGTCTTGATAGCTCCTTTCATGAATGTTGATTGTGGATCCAAGCAAAATGAAGTCTTTAACAACTTCAAACTTTTCCCCCTTTATCAAGATGTTACTGGTCCAGATATGAGGATTTTAATTTTCTTTATGTTGTGGTGCATATATACTGAAGGCTGGAGTCTTTGAGCTTCGTTAGTATTTCAAGTCTTCCACTTTTAGCACTTAAAGTAGTGAAGAGCAGAGATGTCAGCTTGAGGAGTAAGGTGTGCCTGACCCAAGCCATGGTATTTTCAGTAACCTCATATGGATGTGAAAGCTGGACAGTGAATAAGGAAGATCGTAGAAGAATTGATGCCTTTTGAGTTGTGATGTTGGAGGAGAATACTGAAAGTGCCATGGACTGCCAAAAGAACCAATAGATCTGTTTTAGAAGAAGTACAACCACAGTGCTCCTTGGAGGCCAAGATAGCTAAGCTTCGTCTCTTCTACTTTGGACACATTGTCTGGAGAAGGATGTCATGCTGGGTAAGGTGGAGGGTCAGAGAAAAAGAGGAAGACCCCCAACGGGATGGATCAGCCAGGTGGCATCATTGATGGCGTCAAGTGTGGCAGCGGTAGTGAGGTTGGCCCAGGATCGGACATTGTTTCGTTCTGCTGTGCATGGG